GGGAAGAAAAAAAAAAAAAAAAAAAAAAAAAAAAAAAAAAAAAAAAAAAAAAAAAAAAAACACTGCTTGATATCGCTCCATGGCCGCTCGTTCTGAGCAGCAGTGAGTTACGACTTGAGCATACTCGCTGTTCGACTTTCCTGAACGTATCTGACCGCAATTACGGTCCTTCCTGGATGTATCTGACCGCAATTACGGTCCTTCCTGGATGTATCTGACCGCAATTACGGTCCTGAGTCGACGAAGTCTTCCAGGTGTGAATAAGAAAAAGATGCGCGTGACAGCGTGTCCATGCGAACCGGGTTCAACCAGCCCTACCCGCCCTTTTAGCAGGCTTTCGGGTTCTTTTCAAAAAAAAAAAAAAAAAAAAAAGCGAAGCAGCCCCCATTGCCGCCGAGACTCTTCCCCTCACATATCCCTCTCTCTATCCCTTTCTTTTTTTTTTTTTTCATTACAAGCCATCGACATCTGATTCCTCAACGAATAACGTAGTCAGACAGTCCAGCGCCTCGTCTCCGGTGTCCAGCAGCTGACACATGAACTTCCCCTTCTCCATCTCCTCCTCCTTTCTCGTAATGGAGCGAAGCACGAAACTGTGCACAACTCGTTCCCGTTCGCAGTTAGTGAAGCTGAAATGGACTACGATGGGAACCAGATAGTCGAGTGCTCCCTCGGGTCCCGATCCCTCGACGTCGCCACCCCGATCGCGATGAAAACTACCAGCGCCGCAATCCCGACGCGGCCGACGAGGATCTGCCACGTGGATAACCCCCGCGTCCACCTCCGACGACCACTGACTCCCTCGAGCTGCGCGCCGAGTGCACTGCAGCTTCCGCTGCTGCTTGGCCGTCTGGAACCCTCCCGATGCCAATCCCGATCCCCATCCCGATGCCGATCCCGATCCCGATAGTAGATCATCCGACAAAGGGCCGCGATCCGAGAGGTAGGCGAAGGCTACGAGGGAGTCCAGCCTCTCATTTGTTCGAGGAGAGACTCTCCACGCGCACGCGTAGCGACCGGGGGGGAGGCAGCAGGTCATCGTGCCTTTGACGGAGCCGCCGAGGTCGTGAGTTTTCCGCCCAAGTTTCAGTGAACGTTCAAAGAAACTTCCTTTCTTGATGGGAACCACGCTCCCGAGAGGGACGCTTCCCCGCGGCGGCGGCTCCATAGCCATAGCCAGCCTCTCTCTTGTCCCACCGACCTCCATCGCCGTTCCCGAGAAGCTGGTTGTCAGACGGCTCGTCGTCTTTTCCAACTGATAGTGAATGTGCGGCTGCGCGTCGTCGAAGACCCCCGCGCTCAGCTTGCGGTAACTCCGCAGAGCCCAGCTGCTGCTGCTGTTGCTGTTGCTGCTGTCCTGCCTGCAGTTGTCAGAGTCCGCCAGTCTCTGACAGGTCAACAGATTCTGACAGATCCTCCGCTTGTTACCATTTATAGCACCTCCCATCGTGTCGGCGCCGACGAGGCCCTGCGGCCGCGCGTCGTCGAAGACACCCGCGCTCAGCCTGCGGTAACTCTGCAGAGAACAGCTGGTGTCCCGCCTGCAGTTCTCAGAGTCCCCCAGTCTCTGACAGGTCCGCAGATTCTGACAGATCGGCTGATAGTTAGTATTTATGCTACTTCCCATCGTGTCGCCCCAGATGAGGCTCTCCATGTCCAGATCCGGATTCTTCGATAAGGGCATCCCACGACAGAGCAGGTGAACGCCACGTGGCATCAGAAGCTGCCATGTCCGATTAGAGCGCGCCGCTTGAGCGAACGAGGAGCAGACGGTAGCGGAACGACACACATCGACTGCCCCTCTCAGCCTGCCCAAAATCTCGTTTATTAGATCTGGAGGCAAATCAGTGAAACAGACAGATGACAACGGTTTCGCGGAAGTAGATCTTGAGGAGGTAGAGGTTCTTGGCCTCCTCTTACAAGGCCCGAGCCCAAGATCGGCAGGCAACCATGACGAAGAGGAGGAGAGGGGGAAGGAGGAGGAGAGGGGGGAGGAGGAGGAGAGGGGGGAGGAGGAGGAGGAGGAGGAGAAGGAGGACATGGTGGTTGAAGAATCGCAGCTGTAAGTACTGTCCACGGAGTCGATGTTAGGCATTTGCATCCTCAAGGCGGCAATATCAGACTTCCCCACTCCAGCCGGTGCGAAAGAAAATGTACCGCAGTCCGCCATCGTCATGGCAGGTGCTGCTTCGCCTCTCTCTCTCTCTCTCTCTCTCTCTCTCTCTCTGTGTGTGTGTGTGTGTGTGTTTGTATGTGTGTGTGTGTGTGTTGATGTTCGGGGATCGCTCTGAGACTGTGTGTGTGTGTGTGTGTGTGGGTGGGTGGGTGTGTGTGTGTGCGTGTGTGTGTTGATGTCCGTGGATCTCTCTCTCTCTCTCTCGGTCTCTCGCTCTCTCGCTCTCTCGCTCTCTCTCTCTCTCTCTCTCGCACACACGAACACACTTCGCATCGATTTGCTCGGTACGCGTTATTTAAGCCCACTCCGTCAGCTCTGCGTTTTATTTGAGATCATGTTGAACTCAGCCATTCACATTATTGAAGACCAGGTGCGTGATCGGTACTTGGACGGCCCCCTCGTCCCCGTACGAACATCACCTGACCTAATGACTTCCAAAGATTCTAGAGACCTCATTGGCACCCGCTCTTTTTCTAAGGCCAATCATTTGCCGCAGCGGGATATGCCGTTGATTTTTTTTATTTATTTTTTTGGACCATTTCTCGATTTATGCGTGCCATCCTTGCGCAAGGGGCCATGCTAATCTTCTCTGTATCGTTCCAATTTTTAACGGATGTCCGAAGGACAATGCCGTTGATTTTACGTTTTCTTGTGTAAAGAAAAAAAAACAAAGAGAAAATTTTAACCGCTCATTTGCCCTAAATCTTTAACCCATTTTTGTTGCCGTGATTTTGAGGTTGACCGCTCCAGGTTCATCACACAACATTTAAATGTATATGAAGCGGGTAATCGTCCCCATACATTGAAAACGTGAAATGAGTTCAAATGTATCCGGTCCATCCTTTTCTTTTTTTTTCCGACCCATCCTTCTTTTTTTTTGTCTTTGTTTTTTTTTTGTGTGTGTGTGTGTGGTCCGATGGACCACGGATCACTGATCTTAGCCAAAAGGCCGAGAAAGGTATAACCCATCCTTTCTTTTTTTTTTTTTTTTTTTTTTTTTTTT